GGATTTTTCCTTTGATAAGGATACACGTTCATCTCCTTCTCTTTTGATTAGTTTTGGGTTGAAGCTATTTTGGTAGCTATCAAACTGGGTACACCAGTTTGTGTCTTAGGTCTGCTTGCTTGGAAAGTCTTTTTTCCAACCTTTTCTGCTGAGATAATATCTATCCTTGGTGTTGACGTGTGTTTCTTATATGCAGCAGAAGGATGGATCCCATTTTCAAATCTATTCTGTTAGTCTGTGTCTTTTTATTGGATAATTGAAACTATTGATATGAGAGATATCAATAGCCAATGATTATTGGTTCCTGTTATTTTGGTAGTGGTGATGGTGGTGGTGGTGGTGGTGGTGGTGGTGGTGTGTGTGTGTTTCCCTTCTTTTGGTTTTGCTTGTGTGAGATTATTTACTTCCTGTGTTTTCATGGATGTAGTTAACCTCCTTAGGTTGTAGGTTTTTCTTTATAGCACTTTCTGTAGGGCTGAGTTTGTATATAGATATTATTTAAATTTGCTTTTATTAATGAAAATCTTATTTTCTCAGTCTACGGTGATTTAAAGTTTTGCTGGGTATAGTATTCTGGACTGTGATCTGTGTTTTCTTAGAGTCAACAACACATCCGTCCAGGCCCTTTTGCCTTTTAAAGTCTCCATTGAGAAGTCAGGTGTAACTCTAACAGATCTGCCTGTATATGTTACTTGCAACTTTTAATATTCTTTCTTTGTTCTGTATGTTTAGTGTTGTGATTATTATATGGTGAGGGATGCTTCTGGTACCTTTGTGGGCATGCCTTTTCTAGGTTAAGAAGAAAATCTTCTATGAATTTGTTGAAAATATTTTCTGGGTCTTTGAATTGAGATTCTTCTCTTTCCTATTCCTAATATTCTTAGGTTTAGTCTTTTCATAGTGTCCCAGATTCCCTGGGGTTTTGTGTCAGGAATTTTTCAGATTTAACATTTTCTTTGACTGATGTATCCATTTCTTCTATTTATCTCCAATGCCTGAGATTGTCTCTTCCATCCCTTATATTCGGTGGGTGAAGCCTGCCTCTATTGTTCCTGTTTGAATTCCTAAGTTTTTCATTCCCATAATTCCATTGGCTTTGTTTTCTTTGTTGTTCCTATTTCCTTTTCAGATCTTGAACAATATTCTTCATTCCCTTCAACTGTTTGTATTTTCTTGGCTTTCTTTGTGGGATTTATCCATTGCCTCCAATTGTTTGTTAATGTTTTCCTGACTTTCTTAGAAGAATTTATTCATTCCTTCATTTCCTTGTTAAGGACCTCCATCATCTTAATAAAGCTGATTTTAAGGTCTTTTTCTTGTGCTTCAGCTATGTTGAATACTCAGGGTCTGCTATGGTACAATAGCTGGGTTCTGGTGGAGACTTATTGCTCTGGTTGTTATTAATTGTGTTCTTATGCTGGTGTCTAGGCATCTGGGTTTGGGGTGATTACAGATGGGTCTAGGTGCTGATTTCTGGGTTTGTCTTTGTTGTGTATGTGTCCTGTTCTTTGCTGTTTAGAAACTGTGATGGCTGTGTGTCGCCTATATTTCTAGTCAACTAAGCTGACATGTTCACAGGGAACGCCAGCTGCTGTTAGAGACTGGGTTTCAGCAATAAGTAGAGAGAGGAAGGTTAGGAGGCGAAGGCAAGTGGGATCCACAGGAGATTTGGGCTGTGGGAAGGGAGGCCTCAGCTGCTAACTTGTTGCAGAGCAAGAATAAGACTTAGGGATTATGCCTAGGAGAACAGAGAGAGAGAGAGAGGTCTCTGGGCAGCATACTTGGTTGTCTGGCTGGCATGGCCTATAGTTGAGCAGGAAGTTCCTGCTGGAGTGGTGTCAACCATTCATTTTCAATATTCATTCAACAAAGACTTATGAATTCCTCCTATGTGCCAGAAAAAGTCATATCATCCCTGAAGCTAATCAAGTATAACTATCTGGGTTTCTCGCTTGCACGGGCCCTATCCATGGATTCCTGCTGAGTAAGACATTTTATCCATGTTAGCTAAAATGATTATGCCTTCCACTTTAATCTCCTTCATGCTGTCCTTACTTTGGAAGGAAAGCAGGAGCTGGGCTTTGGAGAGTCACGTTAAACTGAGATGCTGATTCATGCATTATGGGTCTGGTGCAATGAGATCCTGTGGTTGCATGCTTACATTACTGTGATCTCTTCCCAAAAAGAATAACTCTGAGGATATTCTTCCTGCCCAAGGTGCTATTAAGGTTGGGAACTCAAATAACCACAGGCTGGTCCCAGCTTGGGAAGTTACTTTGAAGGCTTTGGAGCTCTTGGTGTCTGGGGCCTGGCTAGCAGACAGAGAGGTCCCTGGGTAGACCTTTGAAAGTTATCCCTGGCCCTGGTTCCCCCAGGGTTTCCTCTACTACAAGGGGTGAGTGAGCCTCTACAGTATGATGCCACCACCATGGTGGACTGGGATCTCTGAAATCAGGAGCCAAGATAGATCTTCTCTTTCTCAAGTCCTTTATGTTACATGTTTCTCACAGTGATGAGAAAAGTATCTAGAGTATATGCCAGCCCACACAGAGTCATAATACAATGTTCCCAGCAGGATAATGTTTCTCAGGCTACTTTCTGTGGAGCACTGGCCTGAAACATGTGGAGACAAAACAAATCCAAAGTAAATCCATAGAAAATCTTTCCTGAGTCTGTTCAATCATTCATTCTTTCAAAAGAGCTTTCATAGCCAGGTAGTGGTGGTGCACACCTTTAACCCCAGCACTAGGGAGGCAGATGCAGGTGGATCTCTGTGAGTTTGAGGCCAGCCTGGTCTACAGAGAGAGTTCCAGGACAGCCTCCAAAGCAGTATAGAGAAACCCTGTCCCAACAAACCAGAGAGGGTGGAGTTTTCATGAAGATCTTGGATGCTACCAGTAACAGACTTTACTGAAATATCAGCAATTTAAAAAAAAAGCAAAGTTCAATCAACCAGACTGTACTGTTTGGGTAATTTCTATATAGAAAATATTGTGAAATTGTTGTCTGTTTTCTGTGCTTCTTACAGAGACACATGCTAACATTTCTCTGTCTCATAGTCAGTTTGTGTACTATCCATTGCTGTTCTGTCAAAGTTAAATTGAAATACATTTAACACAGTGTTAAGTGTATGCAAATTTAGAAGTCTTACATCTTCCTGACAAATTACAACTATTTTATTACAAAATGTTTTTTTCTGTAACTTGCAGTTCTTTTGCCTTTTATATTAACTTAGTTTGATACAATCATGGTGAGGCCTCCTACCTTTTCACCATCTGCCCATTGTCTTGTTGTAATTACTCCACGGTCTCATTTTTAAATTAGCAACCACACATCCAGGATCCGTAGTTTTCTCCATTCTGAAACCTCGTTTCTTAAAGGGAATATCTATTCTCTTGACATTCAATTAATGTGGTTACTGATGTGTCACATTCTAAGTAACCATCTTAACTCATACTTTCTGTTCACTGTGCCTTTTGTTTTCCTGTTGGTTGTTTGGTTTGTTGGCGGACTGGTTGGTTAGTTGGTTGCACCAGTTAATTGATTGATTGACTGCTGGTTTGGCCAGTTGGTCAGTTGTGCTGGCTGGTTAGTTGGTTGTCAGATTGGTTGGTTGGTCAGTAGGTTAGTTGAACGGTTGGTTGGTTGATCAGCTGAAATCTTTGGGATAGTTGGTTGCCTACCTAGTTAGATTAGGTTGGGTTAGTTGGTTGGTTGGTTGGTTGGTTGGTTGACTCATTGGTTGGGCTGTTTTTGGTACTTTCTATCATTAAGATTTTTTGATTTTTTTAGTGTTTATTTATGTTCCATTGAAATTATGTTCACTTTTTTAGGCAACTCAGTGGTTATGCCAGAGATTATAATATGGATTATCCAAGTCTAATCTGACCTTTCTGGAGGACAGTGCAAGCTTCTTAAAGCGTGTTGATTTTATACATTCTCAAAAACTACCCTTGATCTAGAAAATTCCTCACTGCTTCTGCCTAGAGGCTTGTCTTTTAGGTGATTCTAGATTCTATCAAGTTGACAGTTAACACCTCCAGAATAGTCATGATCTCCCTAGCATTCAGCATGGTACTGGAAGATAAAAAGTGGCACTGGGCAGCCAACTAAACCCTAAGGGAGAGTCCATGTTTCCTTCAGAAGGTTAAACATACAAGACTATTTAGTTCCAATGATTGAATTACATTTTATTTGTTTATTTTTACCACTCCATTCCTTTGGCAACAATGTTTCAAAACGACTGGCTAGACATTACCTACAAGCATTGCTGAATTTAGGAAAGCCACTATTACGTTTTTGAAGCGGGGAAAACTCTCCCACCAAAAGCACTGAGCTCATTAAAGCAGCAACAACTAGAAAATATTGCTGTATCTCTGCAAGAAGAAAGTTACTGGAGGTCACTTATTTAGCTGGGGGCTATTCATTCCAGCAATGTTTGGGTTTTAATGAGGAGGGGGAGAGAGAGACAGAGACAGACACACACACACACACACAGAGAGAGAGAGAGAGAGAGAGAGAGAGAGAGAGAGAGAGAGAGAGAGAGAGAGAGAGAGAGAGAGAGAGAACGTCTTGTGCTTTTGTTGAACCATTGGGTTTTGGTTTTTGGGTGTTTTGTTTTGTTTCGTACGTGCGCTTACCTGCCAAGACGGGAAGTAAACTCCTGGGCAGAAGCACCAAGTACACCTTCCTGAAGCTAGGACTGCAGACCTAGCAGTCAATGCCCGGCCACCTATTGTGCATCTTCCATTCTCTTTCAGTAATTATTTCAGTGCCATCCACTAACTGTCAGGCAGTGAATATTGAATTAAATATGCCCCCTTACCTTTGGGAAACTCTTAGATACATGGAGCAGATCCCAGATAGGTTTGAACAAACACCTCCATCACATGAATTTTATGAATATTGAATTCAGCGATGTGTTAGAGAGATATTTACGCACCATTAAAGATACAAAATAAATTATGAATAAGTGATACTTGAATACATTTAAACCAATGTGATTGGATATGCTGCTTTATTTTTAAAATATTGGCTACAACAGAGATACCTGTGAATCCATTTTTACTGTGTCACTATTCACAATATCCAAGACATAGAACTAGATTAAACATTTATTAAACCATAAAGGAAAAGAAAATCATTTTTTCAAAGAAATTGATGGCATTTGATATCAAGTTAAGCAAAGTAAACTAGAAACAGAAAGACAAACATCACATTTTCTCTCATTTGTAAAATCCAGGGGTTTTTTTTTTGTTTGTAGTGTGTGTGTGTGTGTGTGTGTGTGTGTGTGTGTGTGTGTGTGTGTGACATGAATGAACAAGGAAGACTGTGAGGAATCAGAGACTGGCAGAAGGGAGAACAAGACAGGATATTGGGAAGGTAAATATGAGCAAAGTAATGAGATAGGTGTATGAAAATGCCATAATAAAAACCCATTGCATTGTATGTTGACTAAAAAAATAAAATTTAGAAAACTTCAAAATTAATTGGCCCTCAAATTAAAATATTGGCTTCACTTCGTAATTCAATACCTATGGTTTTAAACAGTTTGTGGGGTTTTCTTTCTCATACATTAGATCCTGACCACAGTTTCCGCTCCCTCCACTACTCCCAATTCCTCTCCTCCAGATCCACTTTTCCATTTCCCGTCAGAAAATAGCAGGCCTCCCAGGAATATCAACTGAGCACAGCATGACAAGCTACAATAAGACCAGGCACAAACCCTCATCTCAAGGCCAGATGAGGCACCCAAATAATAACTGATACAGAAGTGTGAGCATCCGGCATGTAATTCCCTTTTCTTGCATTTTCTACAAAGAACTCTGTCTCCTTCTTTAAGTCGAGAAAGCCTGATGCTTTTACAGCGGAGAAAATCAATAATCCATTAGCTCTGCTTAAAGAGTTCGCTCAGGCCAGACTTGACCGCCGTGAATATTAAGTCCCTGTGCCCTAAGTGGTCACAGAAGAAAAGCCATGGGCTGCTGCTTTGCTGGGGTTCCTGTCACACAAGGCTGAGGGGCAATTTCAGCTGCTCTCAACCAGGTCCTGCGGGAAGAGTGTCTGGATGGTGTCGTTAGCAAGATGGTCACCGTCACATGGCGGTATTCTAACAGGAGACTGTGCCACACGTCTGTCTCTGGTGCTGATGGATCCTGCGGTACTCTGATGCGGTTCACCAGACCCGGATCCCTCACACTCTCTTTCCCTTCGTATCGTAGCATATCATGACATTCTGAAGACATCAAATGGAAAATTCCAGAAATTAATAACCCACACGATTTGAAAGGTGTAGGTGCAGCGTTCAGGGTAGCATGATGAAGTTTCACACTGTCCCACTCTCTCACCGAGAGCGTGGCTCGTCCTCTGGTCTGCTGTATCCCCACTGTCTATGCCACCTGTCTGTTAGTCACTTCATCACTGTCTGATGGCAGGACAGACCTGCCATCACAGGTGACCCTTGCTTTACTTCAAACAGGCCCCAAACACGGGAGTGGTGGTGCTAACAATTCGCATACCCCAAAGAGAAGGCTGAAAACACTGCCTTCAAATGAAAAGATGAAAGCGCTGTATTAGTAAGGAAGGGAAAAGAGTGTACATGGATACAGCTAAGATCTGTGAGAAGAATGGATCATCTACCCAGAAGAGTGAGGCGAAGAGAACAGTCATGCAGTCATGCTCATTTCCTTGTCACACCTTAAATTACAAAACCTGTGACCATGGTGCATTACAAGTCATTGGTTAGGCTGTAGCAAGTATAATAGTACTTGTTATTAGATTATAACTTACTAAATGTATGTGTACATGGTATTAAAATGTAACACTCTAAAACACACACACACACACACACACACACACACACACCACTTTTAAAGCCAGTATTGTCTGTGGTTTCAGGAATTCTCCGGGTCTCTTGGCCCTCAGAGGAAGGAAGGCTTGTTATGTTGGTTCATTTTTTAATGGCCACAAGAATCTTGGGATTGAGAAGGTGAGCTGCTTGAGGTTTGGGAGATGGCTCTGCAGGAAAAGACATAGCATCACAATATGGCAATCTGAGTTCATTCCTCCAAATCCAAGCAAGAAGCCAGCCTGGGGTGAGCTTCTGTGGTTCCTGAACTTCTGGGAAGCAGATAGAGGAATGAATCACCCAACCAGCTGGCTTGGGTGTACAACACAGGGACACCAGCAAGAGAGAGACTGCTCTCAGCAAGATGCTCCCAAAACGTGTTATCAGTCCCCACACACATGCCAAGGCATGAATGTACCCACATTCACACCCACATACATGTACATGCATATACATACACAAACAGACATACATGAAACAATCAATGTTTTTTTAAAACTACACTGTTCACTTTCGCTAAGACGTGTAACCAGTCTAGGTGTTCATCAATGGATGCGTAGACAAACAAAATACGGTATTGTCCTATGCTTCAGTGGCAGAGTGGTAGCATACAAGAGGCATTATGTCTAACCCCAAGTATGGGACAGACAGACAGACAGACAGACAGACAGGAATTTTATGCAGTCATCAACAAGAGTGAAATTATGACATTTGAGGAAGCCACTCGGTGTCAACCTTGGCTTCTGCCTGCACACACTCACACACACACACACACACACACACACACACACAGAAATAATTTTTAAAGGGGCTTTAGGGGCTGGGTGAGATAGCTCAACAGGAAAAGGAGCTTGCTGCACAAGCCTGGTAACTCAAGCTCAACCCCTAGAGCCCACAGAAAGTGGGAGGAGAGAGCTGACTCCATATAGTTTTCACCTGACCTATGTGTGCCCACATAGACATGTCTCATGCATGCACAGGACTGATAATAAAATAATAGCAATTCTTAAAATGTTTAAAGCATTTTGTCATTCCTGTGCCTTGCACTGGCTTCACTAGCAATTATGTTGGAACTTTAAATACCACCACCACCATTTTTCTTTTGAAACAGGGTTTTGGTGGGTGGCCTGTAAAACGTAGTCTTCCATCCAGCCACCTGGGTCCCAAGCTGTCTCAGCCCCCAAATAACACACAAAGCACTATATTAATTATGAAGCTGTTGTCCATTTGCTTGGTTTATTATTGGCTAGCTCTGACTTAGTTATTAACCCATAGCTGCTAATCTGAGTATTTCCACATGGTCTCCTCTTACCAAAGGATCCGGACCTCTTACTTATCCTACATTGTAACTGACTGTGCCTCTCTTTCCCAGAATCCTCCTCGACTCCTAGTCCCACCTATCTTGCTTCCCTATTGGCCAACAGTGCTTTATTTAATCAACCAATAAGACAACATATACACAGAAAGACTCCCCCATCAGTGGCCTAGGCTGGTCTTGAACACATGATTGTGATGGCTAGCATGTTGACGGCTAACTTTGTGCTTAAAGTTTAAAATTACTATGTTTAAAAGAACTATAAAGCAAAATGGGGGCTTCCAAATGTTACGAACTGCTAAGGGTTATTTTTGTAATTGCCTGGTCTGGTACAACTGTAACAAAACTGCTGGTTCTGCTTCCCTAAACAAAAGCTTGCTTAGCATAGGATGACCTTTTGCTTGCAGAAGACAGACTGTAACTTTGTGTTCCTTGTCTTTGTAAACCCCTGAATTAGGTGTCTGGGCCCTGCGCCTTTGGGAATCCCAAGTCCCAGGTGCAGACCTGGTGCCTTTATATGAATAAAAGCCTCTTCTTTGCTGATATTTATTAATGGTCAGACTGAACTACCCCAGACCCATAACAGTGATCTTCCTGCCTTTTCTTCTTTGTTTCTGGGTTTACAGGCCTATGCCACATGAACCATTTTAATTATTTTTTTAATTTAGAAAATTTCCAAAAGAAAAAAATCAGGGTTATGAAGCTATCATTGGACCGTTGGTTTATTTTTCCTTCCTATTGATTATAGTGAAAAGCAGAACACCTCTTGGACCATTGCTGATGTCCCTGAGCTGGTGCCTTAGCCAAACTTGATGCTCCATTATTATTCAACCTACTTGTTACCTGGCCCGGTATTGCTTGATGACGAAGCCAACTTAATGGTGGGCTCTTAGTTCACGTTTCCTGGGAAACAGACACAAGATGGTGACTGACTGGGAACATCTTTAGGATCAGCACCCACGAGAAAGGGTCCCAAGAAGACAAGGCAGGAGAAAGCACGGAAGCATGAGGTGGTTTTGAAGAAGCTCATATCACACCCTTAGGGAACTCTGGAGCTGAGTCAAATGGGACCCAAGGGGCAAGCATCTGAACTCTGTCTTCCTGATGCTTGTTTACCCGTCGCTGTGTGAAGCCTCCTCCTGAAAGAGTCCATGGCCTTGAACCAGGAAGCTCTCCTAGCTGAGGCTAACTCTTGAGCCTGGACCTTGGCTGTGACTAATCACAATATTTTTGTAACACCAGGCAAAATACTGTGTCATTCACAGCATCCACCACACACAGAGCCTTTAGCATGGGTTGCCATGGAAACAGGACTCCTGTAGGGGGCATGTCGTAGTTAGACCTACTTATTGTATCAAAAAAATTAAAAGGATGTGGGGAGAGTCCAACAAGATAGTTCAGAGGATGAAGACACTTGTCACCAAGCCTTACAACTTGAGTTCTATCCCTGATGCTCACATCGTGGAAAGAGAACTGTCGCCCACTAATTTTCTTCCTGCTTCCACATGTTCACCACGGTAAGGACATGCCTGCACACATGTCACATGCATTCATATGCAGTCACGAATAAATTTAAAGAAATATTAAAAGGAAACCTCTAACTGGAAGTGCCTTGTCATTTTGGTTTTTGGAGTCTTTGTGCTGAAACACAACTTGGGATTTCGTTGCTTATCCCCCACTTGGGGGAAAAATGAGATGACTGGGCTGCTGAGGTAGTGGATTTATTCTCTTGGGGTCTCAGAGCCAATCTGCAGATCTGGAGGTTTTTTGTTTTGGCTTAATCCATGGCTTGACTCCAGTCCTTCATTTGTTTGGCAGAAGTGTCTGGCTGGTTGTCTATTATTCAAAACTTATATAATCTGTATTTGTGATGCTTAAACCATTCAGAAAAAGTGCCCTTGAGAATTCAGTTGCTAAGCATTTACATATATATTCAATTACCATAATTTACTAAGCTATAAATATCTCTATAAAATTAAATATCACCATTGTTATCCAAGTACATGCATGACAGACAGGAAATCTATGCAATTGTCATTAGTACATCATAACCTCCTAGTTTTATATCTTCTATACATGTGTGGTCTCAGTTAACCTCTCCAAAAGCTGCAATGTGGACAGGAAACAAATTACTAGCTGGTATTTACAGATGAATGATACTGAGACAAGCAAAATGGCTCATGGAAATCCCTGCACCCAGTAAGTGATGGGGTCGGGAGAAAGCACTTCATCTTCTCATAGTCCAGATAACAATAAAAAAACCTTCCTATGACCCCAAAGTCCTTGTCCATGCCCCATGGGCTCAGGTAGATTGCACTGAAGCTTAGAATGTGCAAAAGGATGAAATACCATTCTCTTGATGATTAGATACATTTTGTTACACACACGTCTGTAAGTGAAGAAGATACTCAGATTGGCCATGATGAAAGAATCCTCAGTGTTGCGAACAGCTTATCTGGAGGCCATATGGTGAGGACTATGGGCAGCCTCCTGGGCCTAAGTATGGCATCCCACCAACAGCCAACAAAACACTGGGTTGAACTCTGTTGACACCCTGGATGAATGTGTTATTGCACATCCTAGCTTCAGATGATAACATAGCCTGGTTGAGACCTCATGTGCAGCGCAGTTAAGTCCCTGATCGTTCAGTTTCTAGGTTTCCATTTGCAGATTAGCTATATCCATGCTCCTGACCAACAGAAACATAGTGTGTATTATTTTAAGCTAATATGTGGTAATTTGTTATATGGCTGGAGAAAACTATAATTGAAATCAACTGTAAAGTTATTTATAACTCCATCTTCCTCACTAGGTTTTCCCCAATGGCAAGCTCATGCGCAGGCAGACCACCAGCAGTTAGGTTTCTCTGAAGGCAATCCATCATCAGAGATGCTCCGAAAGTCATCCTGATCATGAGAAAGAATCTGCAGGGCCACGAGAGGGACTAATGTGGCCCCTCAAATGTCAAACTGCCTTTCCCTCTCTAGGCCAGTATCAGAGAAAGAAAAGTATTTCCACACACTCGATGAAGACAGCATCAGAAACTATAGAAACACAGCCTTCATCAAGATAC